TGGGGCGCTGAGAGCAGCTGCGGTGCTGCCAGGGCACAGGGTGTTTCCCCTGACAGGCAGAAAGGGGAAGTTGGGGCACCTCTGAGGTTTGGGGTGTTCCCCTGCCCTGAGGGGTGGGGGGGTGTGGAGGTTCCTCAGTCCTTTCTGTGCCCCCTGAGCAGCACCAGGCGCTTGGTTTGGCACCTGAGCGGTTGTCATGGCCAAGAGGCTTCCAGTCCCTCCCTCCCTTTGTAGTGACGTAATAATTTCGGGGGAACAGGGTTTTCCTCTGGCTCTCAGCAGGCTCATTAACCGGGGGGGGAGGTCAGTGGTGTCCCTGTGGCCCCCCTGTGCCATGGCTGAGAGCTCGGGTGGCCCTGCCCAGGCCCAGGTTGGTGCTTCTCCTGCACCCCACATCCACGTGGGCATCGTGCTGGGCCTCTGCCTCCTGGCTGCTGCTGCTGCTTTTAAAAGCTGAGATTTGGGTGCATATATATGGTTTTTATGTCCCCCTTTCTGCTTTTAGAGGAGGATTGTTGCTTTCCTAGGAGGCTGAGCACCCTTGTTGACCCAGGAACAGGAACAGTAGATGCATCTTATCTCTGCCTCACTTCCCAGATTGTAGCAGGAACTGCTGTTGACTTCTGAGGTTGCATAATCGGGCTTGTTTTGTGGGTTTTTGGGGGTTTTGCCTTTCCCCAGAGGAAATGAGGCATCTAGCTGGGTTCAGGTGCTGGGTTTTCAGTTCCACGCAGGATTGGCTTGGCCAGGACACGCTCTCCTTGGTTAAAGAGTGGCAGAAAGCTGCCAGGGGGGACGTTTCCTCATGTGACAGTGCCCGGGGAGGGGGGGGTAGCACTCGTTGTGCCATCAGTGTGTCAACACAGCACTGACCTAGCAGGGTTTATTTATCTGCTGCCCTTGGGAGCAGATCAGGATCGTTGCACTTGCAGCTTTGCCTCGTTCTGAATGTCCAGGGAGTAGGACTGCAGGAAATTCCCCCCAGGGGGTGTTTTTTGGGGTGATCTCTGAAGCTCCCAGGGGCAGATCACCACCAGGCAGAGCGGGGCTGTTGGTACCCGAGGGGCAGTCGGTGTCTCTGGTGACCAGGCTGGAGCTGGTGGTGGTGCCCAACGAGCTTTGCTGGAGCAGAGGCTGGGGGAATGTCTGTGTCTGCTTGTTTTACTGTCCCTGTTCTGCTCTGGGGGCTGCTGCTGAGGCTGGAGCTGCTCTGCCCAGGGCACTGCCAGCCTGAGAGAGGGAAAGGGGGTGGCCGAGAGATGGGGACGCTGGTGGCTTTTAGAGCTGAGGTGTCTGGGTGTTGTCTGAGTCCACCCTGAGCTGCTGTACATCCTCCCTCAGCTGGTTACTGGGGGGACACACCCACATTCCCCTTTTAAGTTGTATTTTGACTCAGAATTTTACCAGTGTTCCTGCAGCTTAGGCTGGACTGAACTCACTCTGCTGTAAGAGCCCCGTAAGAGACGCTGGTGAGAGCTGGGATCCTGTGCCTCTGGCCCCTTCCCAGGAGAACGTGAGCTCTGCCAGGCCAAATTCCCAGCTGGGAAGTAGGGAATGGTCCACTCTGGATCTGAGTGAGCCTGCTGGTAGTCTGAGTGAGGGATTTGGGGTGAGCTGGAGCTTGCTGAGGAGGCTCTTCGAGTCTCGGTTATTTCCCATTCTTCTGAGCAGTAATAAATCCAAGTAATCATCAGGATTTTGCTGCACTGGGAGGAATCAAGGACGTGTCAGTCTCTCTGTCTGGGGCAGGTCCCTTTGTCACAAAAATCCTGCAGATGCTTTGGAATGTGTTTGTAAAGACCCTCAACCCCTCTGAGCGGAGGGGTGTAACGGGCTGGCTGACGACGTGCCAGATGCATGGGAAGGGTCAAACGTGGGAAGGAGAATGTCAGAGGAGCTTAAGAGCAAAAGTATGAATAATGTTCTCTCAGAGGAGCTTAAGAGCAAAAGTATGAATAATATTCTCTGGTTTAATGACAGCTCTTTGGTTTGAATTAAAGCTGCAGCGTTAATGAGCAGAATGGCTTCTATTCAAACGAGAACAATCTGACTTTGCTTGGGAGCAGGAGTGGCCATTTCTGTGGTGCTGGAATTAACTTCTCCTCTGCTGCTTTCCTTTACAAAGTGCTTGTGGATGAGGTGATGTGTGGCCTGGAGCAGGATCCTTCAGTGCTGAGTGTAACAGGCTTTGAATCCCTCTGTGGCCGCTCCGATGGTGGCTCGGGGCCGCAGGTACCTCTGACATTCATTACCCACTTTCTCTTTAATCCCATTGCTGGGCATCATCCTTTGTCTCAGCTGGGAGCAGAGGGGCTCCTGCAGAAGCTGGCTTTTCTCTTGACCCCTCCACTTTCTCCTCCCACCCTCCTCTTCCACTCTGGAGGAGGAAATTCTGATTTCGTGCTGCTGCTGCGGCTCAATGAACCGGAGCGGGCTCGGCACGGCCCCCGTGGCTCCCTGGCAAAGAGCCTCCCGGGCCCGTGTGAGCAACAGTGTTGTTGTGAGGGGTGATTTTGGCCTCCAGCCAAACTCAGGATGTGTTTTTTTCAGCCTTGGGGGGTGTGTGGAGGGGTGGGAGCCCTCCAAAAAGTCCTGAATTATCAGCTGGGCTGATAAGCGTGCAGCGCGGATTGAGCTTCCAAGGCCACAGAGGCTTTTGTTGTGCTCTGGAAGCAGCCGTGGCCTCTGACAGAGAAATGGTCACTAAGGAAACAAAAGAGCCCCTGGTTGGATGGGGTGCCACGTTCAAGGACTTCAGCTGTTGATGTAGCTGTGGCAGCATCTGGAGGGGTGCTGGTAAATGATGGAATCCTCCACGGGGCTTTGTGTCTGTGTGGATCTTCCTCCTGTCAGCGCTCGCCCCGTTGGATACACACCTCATTTCATCACTTACATACCCAAAGACGTGGAATTAGCAGCTTTCTGACTGAATTACTGAGCTTTGGGGGTGCAAGGAGCCCAGTGCAGCAGCTTTGGCCTGTGTTACCAAACCAGCCTGGGGTGGGCTTCAGCCTCCACCTTGCTGGCCGGGCGCAGGCAGCGCCCTTCAATTCCTCTTTATCCCAGTGACCTGAGCGACTCCTCTGGGCTGAGCACAAAGCAGACGACCCTAATAGGGCTCCTCCTGTCCTCACCTGCTCCTTTGGTTGTGTTCTGTGTCTTTTCAGGCTGATTTTTTGAAAGGATTACCCGTCTACAACAAAAGCAACTTCAGCAGATTCCATGCGGACTCTGTATGTAAAGCATCGGTGAGTGTTGCCGTGGCCTCCTGCCTTGGGGGGAAGGTTTTTCCTGCCTGGCTCAAGGAAATAAACTTGAAATGAGTGTTTTGTTTCTCTAAAAAAAAAAAACAAACCAAACATGTGTGATTGCAGCTGATCGTTTGGGAGCTGAGATTGGCGAGGAAAACTTCCTGCTTGCTTTGAGGAATGTGCCCTCGCATCAGCCAAACCACATCTGTGGGGCTTGCTGTTTATCTGCATCCTTGAAGAGCAGCCTCCTGTCCTGAAAAACAGGAGAAAAATGATTTTTTTTTCTTTATTTCTGTGTTTTAAAATGCTGTAGCCACGCAGTGTGGCACACCAGGGTAGAATATCACGGGGTGTTGGCAGCCTGGAGTAATACTGAGGTGATAAATGCCCTTTTTTTGCTGCCTGTGTTCCATAACTGCTCTAATTCTTCTTACAGAATAGAAGACCCTCAGTATACCTTCCCACGAGAGAATATCCCTCTGAACAAAGTAAGTCTGCTGAACTTTGAGGGGTTTAATAACTTTACTCTGGTCAAACATTAAAAATTTGGGGTCTACAGAATCTCCCTTCTCTTCAACCTCAGAGGAGGTGATTTTACTGAGCTGTCCCCCCCCGTGGTTGGGGCTGTGTGTCCAGTTTTTGGGGGTGGTGCTTTTCCTCTCCCTTTATTAAGTCATAGATGTTCCTGCAAAAAGTCCTTTTATTACAAAGGACTGAGCTTAGTGTGTGAAATAATTACTGCACCATTTAAGTCATCTTTAAAATGACCTCAGTGTGTTTCTCTCTCCCTCTCTGTCTTTTTTTTTTGGCAGTCATTGTGACAGAAAAGACAAATATCCTTTTGCGTTATTTACATCAGCAGTGGGACAAAAAGGTACAGTTGTGTTTTATTAACTTTGTGTCTTGATTTGGGTTAATTGAGCTGAAGAGTCCAATCCAAACAGTGAAGATTCATTAGAGGGAAGTGGGAGCTGTGCTTCAGCAGTAAAGGTGGTGGAAGGGAGCTCTGGTTCTGCACAGTATTCCTTAAAAAAAAGGGAAAACCCAATTTTTTTCCTCAATATAAGGGACATTAACTCAGGCTGTGCACACTGTATTCCTTAAAAAAAAAGGGAAAACCCAACTTTTTTCCTCAATATAAGGGACATTAGCTCAAGCTGTGCACAGTGAGGCTGTGTAAGGACTTTAGGTACAAAATCTGAGCTCTCCTGTGAGGAACACACAAATTAGTGTGTTCTAACTAATGCTGGAGACTGGGAAACTGGGATACCAGGGGTGGGAATACTCTGAGCGAGGCAGCGATGTGGGAGTGGGATGTTGAAGCAGCAGCTGCAGCCACGGGCAGAGCCAGAGGTGGTGGAAAAACATGGAAAGGGGTAAAACCATCAGGAAAGCTGAAGCTGGGAAGGAAGTGTTTGTATGTGACAGAAGTTGGGAGATTTTGATGAGTTCAGGGGCTGACTCAGAGCAGTGCCAGAGGAGCTCTGGGCACCATCCGCTGTCTCAGCTCACTGCAGGCAAAAACTTTTAGAAACAAAACCTTGTTGTACCAACGCTTGTACCACCACAATCTGAGGCTGGAGAGTTTCACCTTGGCTTTCTCTGTCCAAACAGAATGCAGCAAAGAAGAGAGATCAAGAGCAAGTGGAGATAGAAGGTGAGAACTCGGCGCCGCCACGGAAAATCGCTCGGACAGACAGCCAGGACATGAACGAGGACACTTAAACTCTTGGCTCTCTCCTCCTCCTCCTTTGCAGGCGCTTCCTGTTTTGTCTCAAAGTGTGTAAATTTTGCCCCTCGCCCCCATCTTTCCCCCTCCACTACTCAGCCCAAACCACTTCTGATTTCATGTATTTATTTTTATTTTTTTTTCCCCCCCCCTCTCCATTTTTTTTTTATTTATGCCGTAAAACTTACGGAGCAGTGGTGGAACAACCCAGTAAATGATGTAGTATAACCTTCATTCCTCCTTTCTAAACAAATCTACACTGTCACTTTCACAGGTTTTGTTGAATCTGTTGCTAATCAACCAGGTCTAGCTCTGGGAGCCCAGGTAGGAGCCAGGGGTTCTCCCAGAACCCTTCCGTGACACCAACTTCCCAAATCCTTTACCCGCTGACACATCATGAGTGGTTAAATCCCCTTTGGATGTGTCCAGTCCAGCTGTAAGTGTGAGGCCTCACTATTTTTTTTTTCTCTCAAATATTCTGAAACTGGCACTGCACTAAAAAAAAAATGAAGTCATGGGTGTCATTTGGGGGTTCTGTAGATCTTAGTGGCCGTGCTGCCAGCGTGTTCTCCTGGGCTGCTCTGTAAGGGCTGCTCTCCTTTGGCAGCCTGTGTTCCCTCATGCCTCAGTGGTCATGGAGAACTGGAGTGAAAGGTGTGTTGCTTTTGTTGCTCTTGGATTCTAACCATCTCTTGGTCTCAAATGGACTCGGACCTGCACGACTCCTCCTCTCCTGACGTGGGTGTCTGACAGGGGATGGAGCTGGGGCAGCCCCCCGTGGACGGCGCCTGGCTGGAGGAGCCTGGGAGCCCCTCAACACCCAGAGGGATCAGTGAGGCTGGAGCAGAGCCCGGGCCTTGGAGCTGATCACCAAGTGAGCTTCCACGGTCTCTGACGCAGACCAACCTCTCTCAGACTGTGACAGTTCAGTGCCTGTTGCCTGTGACCCTCCCCTGACTCCTCGACAAGAGCCAAACTGGACACCCAAAAGTCATCTGGGTGGATTCAGACTGAAAAACAAGCACTGTCACCCCAAAGGGGGCAGGAGAGGTGTAGCCTAGTGATGCTGTCGTGTCTGCTTGGACATCAGGAGCTGACTTCACACTGTGTTAGTTCAAACTGTCACCTTTTAGAGCTGTGGGCTTGTTTTTTTTTCCCTCTCCTCGTTGACAAATCCTCAACACCAAGAAATGGCACCAACATTTCTCCAGGGATGTTGGAGAAGCCTCGTCCTGCGTGGCCACCAGCTTTGAGGGTCTCTGCTGTCCCCTTCCCCAATGTCCCCACCCAGCCTGGGGGCAGCCACGTCTCCAAATTTGGGGGACAAAGGGCCACAAACTTGCCGAGGAGCGTGCGTGGTGAGGCAGAACCTGAGGAAGAGCAGGGCACAGCTGACATCACCCTTTGAGATGTATTTTAGGCACTGAGTTTCTGACACAAGGAATGGATTCAACCGGACACCGAGTAGTTTAGAACTTTGTATCTGCCTCAAAAACCCACATCTTTGTGACAGCAATGACCTCCCAATTCCTGGAATGTTGCTGAAAATGCCAACTGTGTTGGTGGAGATGAAATAGCCTTGAGTTTCCATGTGATCTCCCAGCCACTGCAGGAGGACTCCCCCCTGAGTAGCACTGCCAAAAAAGTGCAAGACGTTGACCCAAGACGTTCACGTCTGTCCTGGAGGGGATCCTCCCAAGCTGGGACTGCAGAAGCCTTGTGAAGATCTTTGAGATACCAAGAGAGAGGCCAGGAAGGTGCAGCTGGTGGTGAAGTGTGACCAATTTGTGTGTTTAGCAGAGCTGGGGAGCCACAGCCTTGCCCTGGTGTGTGTACAGTGCTCTGGAGCTGTAAATTGCTGTATGGTTCTGGGGGGTGTGTGTGGCAAGGCCTGAGCTTTGCTGGCACCTCTGCCAGAGGGAGTGATGTGCTATTAAAGAGAGTTGGCAGTTCCTTCCTGTTGTAATCCCCCTGTCTGTGTTCCCTCCGTGTCTCAGTGGGTTGCAGGAGCCTTGGAAAGGTCCTGGATCTTTTTAGGAGGTTATGGGAAGTTGCCTTTTCCAAGTGGTTCTGAAGCAGTGGAGGAGCCAGGCTTCAAAGGGGTGGAACTTGAAGTGTTAAACCAGCTGGGTGGGGTTTTTTTTTGCATTGATTATGCCCAAGTAGCTTGGATTTTGGATGCCCACAGGAGGTTTCTCCACATCCCATCCCACCCAGTCCAAACCCAGAGTTCCCTCCTCCTCCTCCTCCTCCCTGTCCATGCCACTTTGACCCCAAACTCACGGCTCTTTAAGTCCCAGCAGGTTTCAGCATTGCCTGGAAGATCTTTTCTGCCTAACTGTGACTTCCTGGTGCCTTAGTGCATTGAAAACAACAACAAAGATGTTGAATAAAACCAAACCCTGGGGTTTTTGCTGACCGTGCTGTTTGTATCCCACCCAGCTCCTCCGACTTCCAACCCTCAGTACGACGTGACTGAGATCTAGTGACCCTCAGGGGGGGTTTTGTACACGTCTGTAGAGGTGTTTTTATTTCTCTTCCCAGTGCACACTGCAGGTTTTAGTTGTTTTCTTAAGGAAAACTTGAGATACTTGGCAGAGATGGGACTGGAGGGTGTGTTTTCAGTTCAACAGTACATCTTTTCTTCAGGAATGTTGTTTCTTGCTATCAGAGGGCGTTGGGTCCATCTAGGAGCAGCCTGGCGTGTCCAAACAGCACTGGAGCTTGTGCCCAACGGGAGCAATTAGGTGTGTGCAGGGTTAATTTAGAATATTAGCATATATATATAAAGTTAGGCACTGCTTTTTTTTGACAGAAAAATACCCTAGTGAGGGACGGGCAGGGAAAAACAAGGTTTGTTTAGGGTAATTCTTGCTAGCGTGTGATCGCTGCTCTTTTTAGGGGAGAATAGTGGCAAAAAAACACTCTGAGAGTTGGAGATGAGGAACTGTGGAGAGAAAGTTGCTCAGCCCCAGCTGTCGAGGGGCTGAACTGTGGCCTGCAGGAGTGCTCAGAAGTTTTTGGCTGTGTCTCACTCGCAGGATGCTGTTGAGAATCCTTAGCTGGGTTCGATCAGATTCGAGATAAACCCCACGTGTGTTCTCAGCCTCGGTGAGGGGGGGGAAGCACCAGCAGTGATCTGCTTGGGGCACACGTCCCGGGGACTGTTGGGAGCTGGTGGCTGGTTTGTGATGGACCCAGAGGACACGTTTGGGGTGGAATTGGCTGGAAAAGGGGTTTCCTTCCTGCTCCAGCACGTGCCTTACGCAGCGGCTGTCGGTGTCTGGGCTGTTTTCCTGTGAGGCAAGTTTTGACCCTGCTGGATGTTCATTTTTGAGGTTTTTTTTTTGCTCTGTACTAGGGAGTTACAATAGGTGTAACTTCAAAGCTGTGTTTTTTTGGTAAGCTCCTCGACTCTGGCCTTGAGGGCAAGGACTGAGCAGGAGTCCTGGGTTTTTCCTGACCCTGCCTCTATCAGCTGTGTTACCACTTCTTGTTTCCTGGCTTCTCTGGGTGCCGCCAGCTTCACTCTGTGGTTAAGATTTTTTTAATAAAAGACCTGAATATGTGTAATGGGAAAGTTCATTTGTTTTCCTGTGCTAATGACGCCAGCCTGGCAGTGACACAGGGACCGTGGGTCAGTGTCACAAAGGACCTTGAGGGGCTGGAGCGTGGCCAGAGAAGGGCAACGAGGCTGGGGAAGGGTCTGGAGCCCAAGTGTGGGGAGGAGCAGCTGAGGGAGCTGGGGGTGCTGAGCCTGGAGCAAAGGAGGCTCAGGGGAGACCTTCTGGCTCTGCACAGCTCCTGACAGGAGCCTGGAGCCAGGGGGGGGTCGGGCTCTG